TGACGGGGGCTGAGCTCTGCAGGGATGAGGAATCACTAAACGCCAAACAAAATTCAGCTCTGTGCCCTAAGAAAGAGAAAAACCACCCCAAGAGACTGTCCCTGATACCGAGTGAGGAAGCAAGCAGAAGCCACTCTTTGGTTCCAGCAAAAGCCCCCACTTTCCTTCCTTTTCAGTTTACAGACAAGAAATCATCCTCCAGCACGTCCTGCCCTGGCATTTTGTGCTGAGTCCACGAAAAGCCCAACAGAACTAATTCTTTGTGCACCCCAAGGAGGGAAATCACACTGCACTCGCCACACAGCCACAGGATTCCCACCTTGGAACTGGTACTTCTCCTTATTTTATGATTTATTAGCCTCCTAACAGCAGAATAAGCAAATAAAGAACACTTGAAAAAAATTACATTTTCCAGACCAAGCTGAATTTCGGTCCCGTTAGAGGTTCAACTTACAGCAAAAGATGGGGAGGGGGGGAAACCACCCAGCCAGCTCGCTCTTTGTCAGCCTCTCGGAAGAAATGAGAGTCCACAAAGCAGATTTACAACCTTCAGACACACAGACATCGGCAGAGGAGTCAGCTCCGCACAACAAACAACTCCGGAGTAGTTTGTATTATTTACTGGTACGACCGTAAAGCACCGGGGGAGGGAATAAAAACTTCGAGCTAAAACCACCGGCTGTAAAACAGCCACAAACCGCTAAAAAAAAAAAAAAAAAAAAAAAAGAAAAAAAAAGAAAAAAAGAGAAAGAAAAAGAAAAGCAAACGAAACCCTATTGCTGAATTGAATTTGAATAGTCTGCCCTGGCTGCAGTTCAGAACAGAGCCGTGCGGCACGGAAGGCTGTGCTCCCTTCCGCCAGCAGCCAGCCCCAAATCCCGCTCCTTTTCCTGCTTCCCCGCTCCCTCGGAGCGCAGGGAACGCAGCAATTCCCGCAGGGAAACACGCGGGGAAGTGAGCTCTGGGGGACGCGGATTTTTTCCTTTTTACCTCCGTGAAGCCCTCCTGGAGAATATCCAGCAAATTGCCCCTGGCCAGGCAGGCGAGCATCGTCCTCCGGGAGCCCGCGGGCGGGCGAGGCTCTCAGGGGACGCGGGGCAGCTCCGGGCGCCTCCTCCTCCTCCTTCTCCTCGCAGAGACAAAGGCCTGGAGCTCATGGGGGACCGCTCTCATCGTCCCATACGTGCGGGGCTCGGGGCTCGGGGAGAGTTGAGCCAAAG